TACTCTGGTATAAGTTAATGATTTTTTAAATTGCATATTGAAAAAATATTTTAAAAATATTCTTGATTAGTATGATGCCTCTTGGGTCCATTACAGTTTTGGCACCCTCTTTTATTTATCGAAAAATACCTTCCATGCCGGTCACGGTAGCCGAGCGGTCTAAGGCATGCACTGTCTTCGCTCGCTCGGAATCCGAGATCGTGGGTTCGAATCCCACTCAGGGCATGGATGTTTGTGTGCGTTTTTCTGTGTTTGTGTACAGGTAGAGGCCTTGCGACGAGCTGATCACTCGCCCAAGGATTCCTACCGAATGTATAAGATCTAGAAAAACCGAAGTGAACGGAGAAGTTCATGGAGGTAGGCCTAGGCCCACTGGGGCTGTAGTGCCAAGGAAGGAAGGAAGGAAGGAAGGAAGGAAGGAAGGAAGGAAATACCTTCAATAGTATTCGTACCACTACGAGTATGTTATTATTGTAACAATTATATAGGATAGAATATAAGACCAGAGGCGAAATGTAACTAATGCCTTAGTTCCTCAAATAAGGGCATCAAGGAGAGTTTAATTATGCATATGACTTAAAAGTTATATTTGATGTGAACATATGTTCTTTCTTAATTATATTATGGCGCTGTATTGACGTAGTTATCAAAGCATTAAAATATTTTTTTTTCTAATTTAACATTATTTTAGATGTAACAATCTTTCTAAATAAATGCAATGATTATATCGGTATGACTCGATAATTTGGTTCTCACTTTTGAGGTGCGCCAGATAAAAATTAGACGGTAATTAAGTAATCAGGCTCCCTTACTTTACATCTGACTTCTTATAAGTCCATCTTTCCGTCACTGTGTTGAAAAGCCACAAACAAAGACAGAAATTTAGGACAATTTTCCTCATTTATAATCGAATTTGAAACAGACCGAATAAGACTAGAGAAGTCTGAAACTAAGCTAACGTTATGGGTCAAGCACGCTTTGTTAATATTGTGATGCATATGCCCATTGCTAGGCAACAGCTCGGCAAACATATTTCCGAAGAATACGCTCTTACCAATAGGACATCCATTGCTATGTGACGGACCAATAGGCACGCATTCTTGATGACGAAGGGCGGTGTTTTCCGTGGGGTCCATGCTGGGAGTTAAAAGAGGGCACAGTAAGTCGTATTTCGGATCGGAATTGGCGTTCAACGGAGTAAACGGAGTTCAGTTGGAAGTCAGAATAGTTCCAGTGCAGTGTCCAGTCGAAGAAGATGACGGTGTGTCAAATAGTGATTTGTGAACTGTTGTAACGAACTGTATAAAGGTCCAATAAATTCAATCATCAACGCAAAACACGTCTTATTAGTCATGCAAAACGCGGATACGTGACAATATACTTCATAAGTAATATGTTAAATATGTGAAAACCCTTAAATTTGTCATTATTTAAACTCTGTAGCTAATTCTTAAGAAAAATTAACACATATCTTCGATCTGTTTTAAATAATCGATTCTGCAGGAATGAATGCATATGATAACCATTTCAAGTCAATAAGGTAATTAAAGACATTGATGTCATGTGTGTCATGTTTGCCTCAGATTCCAAGAGGAAGGAGATCCTGCAACCGACGTATATTTAGGAATTGTGATCTAAAGGACACCGATCACAGTGTCCGCGGGGTTTAAGGCATAAACCGTCTTCGCCCACTCGAACACTGCGAACGTGGGTTCGAATCCCACGTGAGGCATGGATGTCTGTGCGTTTATTCTGTGTTTGTGTTGTTCTGTGTGCAGACTGCGGCCTTGTGATGAATGATTCCGCGTCCAAAGAGTTCTACCGACTGTGTATAAATTAAGAAACTGAAAAACGGCCAAGGTTCACAAGGACTGTAGAGCCATAGATAGATAGATAGATAGATAGATAGATAGATAGAT